GTGCACAGTTTGGGGCTTACATGGCAATTCTATTCTATTCTATTCTTCTTCTTAATTCATTGATATTCCTCTTGTTGCAACGTGCTTCACATCTATGGTTCACATTTGAGTTTTCCAATACAGAATGAACCAGGATTATATCATGTGTGCATAGTTTGGGAAAGTGCAATACAATGAGCGAAGGAAGGGATAGTAGTCCCAAGCAGAAGGGTAGCTCCTCCAAGAGAACAGGGAAGCATTTTGACAACCAAATCGGAAAGTCGAGGACAACAAGCGAGGAAGAGAGAGCACCTCCAAAGGATAAGAAGAGAAACATTATAAAAATTAAAAAAAAAAACAGCATGCAAGTGCAAAAACATCTTCGATGCAAAAGACAAGGATGAAGAAGCAGGGAAAAAAATAACAAAACTTGAAAAAAGAGAAAAGGAAGAAATTTGACAAACTCTTTAAGCAGTAACTTTTTTTTTTCTTCTTCTTCTTTGTTTTTTAACCAGCGACCTCTACTAGAGGGGGTGATAAGACCAGCCGCCTCTACTAGATGTCCCTGGTTGCTCCATCTATTGGTGGGGAGCTCACCCGGATGCTAGAAGATGCATCAGACGAGCTCTTAAAGCCAGTGTAAAACTGGCATAGGCGAGAAGGACGGTCCAAGAATACACTGATTTCAGTGACACACAAAGAGAGGACTACAAACGATCGTTCAATTAACAGATCGATGAAACGCCACCCTGACACCAGTAAGAGAAGTTTCAAAGATTGCGCGCAACACGAATGAAAACACTTGCATTCCTACCATGGTCCCTCAGATAAGACTCAATCAACCGCCTTACGCGCAGGTTTGCAGCTTGGGTGTTTCCCTCAGTAGCTCTCCCCATCTCTTCGAAAGTCGCGCATGTGCGAAACTTCGCCCTGGAGCCTTTGCCACGCACACTGAAGTCCAATGGTTGTCCATTGCGGCCACTGGCACTCGCATTGCCGGACTGTGAATGGCCCCCACTCAGGCTCTTCCCTCCCAAAGAAGGCGCATGTCCAAAGACTTCTGAATTGTTGTGTACGCGATTCGTGCTCCTGTTGTTGTACTGACCCTGGGCCCGGTCCTGCTCCCCCAGCAGGGCATTTTGCATGGGGTGAAGTACAAAACCCATCCTCCGCATTAGAGCAGACTTGGAATCACGTATAGGCTTTGACGTTGCAGAGACATTCACATCACCTTGAACACCAGGCCAATCAACACCAACGACAGAACTCACCCCTCCTCCTCCTCCTCCTCCTCCTCCTCCTCGTCTTCCTCCTACTACTACTAATACTCCTCCTACTCTTCCTCCGCGCACTCCTTCTCCTCCTACTACTGCAGGTGTCACAAACTTTCGCCTCTGTTTCATTGCCTCCATACTCTCAGACTCAGAGTGGGTCTCAAAATGTTTGGTGCCTTCTTGCCGTTCCGTCCCTCTAACTCTATCTGATTTTGTTCTGAGACTGGCGGGATTGGCAAAATACCCAAAGAAGGGACCAGTGAAACCACTTGCAGCTGACCCTTGTCTGAAACCGAAAACTCTTTGGTCCCCCAGAAAAGAAAACGGCCAATAGAGCAATCCGAGGATGAAAAGCAGGGCCACGAAACCCGTCCATGCTTGTTGACAGTGCGGCAAAAATTGAAAACAGCAAAACCATTTACTGGGAGCCACTGCGGCTGTTCTCAAGAAGTGTTTGGAAGAGCTGGAGCTCGCAACGGCCCGCCACATGACCTGGGACTGGTGAGCTGCACCCAGCTGACCCCTCAGCGGCAAGGAATTACCAACCGCCGTACCCTCCACATCATCCTCCACAGACACTGAAGCAACCCTTGAGCATCACAAACCAAACAGTATAACACATTTAACAGTTTTCACACACACACACACACACACACACACACACACACACACACACACACACACACACACAATCAGTTTTATGTATGTCCTTCTATTTTCTTGTTCGTCTTTTTTCTTCTGTTTTTTTGTGTGTCCTCCCTGTATTTGTTCGAAGTGTTATTTGTGGGTCCAGCTAAGCACCTTTAAGTAGTCCCAAATAGGTGGTCATTCCTCGTTTGGAGTGCCTGCAACACTCTCAGGGAGGCCGCTCAGTTGGGGATGTCTGTGTTTCCCGTCAGTGATTCTCTGGCTCAGCGGGTGGTGGGAACCAACAGTCTGCAGTGTTCAATCGTGATGTGAGTAGGTGTTGTACCGCTTTGCTCTGTGCTGGATGTGTGGACAGCCTCGTCTGCGTTCCGCCGCTGCCTTGCTGCCTGTCATGCTTGCTTCGCATGTGGTTCTCTGGAGGTTGCTGTGTTCTCAGTGTGGTGTGGCTGCGGTGTTGGTGTTGCCTTGTGCCTCGCTGTTCTGCTGCCTTGTCGCCCATCCGTGTGCCGTTCCTTCCGCGTCCTTTGCTTGCGTGACTTGTATTTGCTTGCCTTGTTGGCGTTGCCTTGTGCTTCACTGCACAGTTGTCGGGCTGCTCGTCCGCTTGCCCTGTTGTCCCTTGCAGTTGTCTTTGGCGCTGCGCAGTTGGGTTGCTCCGGCAACGTTGCCTGGTGCTTGGCGGAGTCATTGCCTGCTGCTTTGTGTGTGGTTGCCTTGTTGGTGTTGCCTTGTGCTTCACTGTGCATTTTCCACGCTGCCCGACCGCTTGACATGTCATCCTTGCAGTAGTCTTTGACGTCGAACAGCCGTGTTGCCTGGTGTTTCACTGCGTTGCTGCCCGCTGCTATGTTCCGCTTGCGGAAAGTCTACCTTCAACATGGGTCAAAGGGTTTATGACCCAAACCATCAAATACGGAGATTCTTGTAGCGGACCCACCAGGTGTGGTGCTCCGCTAGTGACAGAGATGGAGATGGAGGAAGAAGGGGGGAGTAAGATGGCACAACGCAGCTCCCCACGCAAGACTCCAACGCACGTACTCCAAAATGTGCAAGTGAAGAATGAGACTGAAAACAGACAATGGCTGGGGTATACCCCAGCGGACTGACGGGACTGGACTGGACTGGCTGGTACCGACAGAGGTACCGGCCTGGACTGGCCTACCCCGAATACAACACAGGCCTGTGAGAACAGGCCAAAGGGCTGGTCTCACAGGCCAACCCGAGGTCCGCTACACGATCCTCGGCCTGTGATGGATCGCCTAGATACCACGACCCTTCGGAGTGGCAAGACCGTCCCGAACTACTCTCTCGGGGACAACGGTCTTGTGTACTGGCACGGTTCACAGGGCACCAGAGAGCCCCGTATTTGCGTTCCCTCCACTGGACAGCTACATGTCCGAGCAGTAGCAGAGTTCCATAACCAGGCAGCCGCCGGTCATATGGGCTTCCACAAGACGTTGGCTCGTGTGAGCCGCCTGTATGTCTGGCCGAAGCGCAAGGACTTTGTGAAGGACTACGTCGCAGAGTGTCCCATCTGTCAGGAGGTGAACAGTGCGAACCACCTACCTTATGGTTTGCTCCAGCCTCTTCCTATCCCTGAGGGTCGTTGGCAGTCCATCTCGATGGACTTTATCAGTCCTCTTCGACCTCCGACCCCCCGCGGTCATGATGCTATCCTGGTCGTCGTCGACCGCTTCACGAAGCGTGCACGCTTTGTTTTGTGCCGCTATGCCATCAGTGCACGTGAGGTCGCCGACATCGTATTTGACCGAGTCGTGCGTGACCACGGCTTACCTCTGAGCATCATATCTGACCGTGACCCGCGCTTTACCAGCCGATTCTGGCGACGGCTCCACGAGGTGTACGGCACTCAGCTCCGCTTCTCCTCGTCTTACCATCCTCAGACTGATGGTCAAACCGAGATCACGAACAGGACTCTCGAAGATATTCTCCGAAAGATTGTTCGTGACGACCAGCAGTGGGACCTCCATCTTGCCCACGCGGAGATATCCTACAACCACGTCGTCTCGCCAGCCACGGGGATGTCGCCTTACTATTGCGACCTCGGCTATCACCCTCGTGTTCCCGCGGACTTTCTTCGACCGTCACAGATGCACCCCGACACGAGTTGTCCCNCATCAGTGCACGTGAGGTCGCCGACATCGTATTTGACCGAGTCGTGCGTGACCACGGCTTACCTCTGAGCATCATATCTGACCGTGACCCGCGCTTTACCAGCCGATTCTGGCGACGGCTCCACGAGGTGTACGGCACTCAGCTCCGCTTCTCCTCGTCTTACCATCCTCAGACTGATGGTCAAACCGAGATCACGAACAGGACTCTCGAAGATATTCTCCGAAAGATTGTTCGTGACGACCAGCAGTGGGACCTCCATCTTGCCCACGCGGAGATATCCTACAACCACGTCGTCTCGCCAGCCACGGGGATGTCGCCTTACTATTGCGACCTCGGCTATCACCCTCGTGTTCCCGCGGACTTTCTTCGACCGTCACAGATGCACCCCGACACGAGTTGTCCCACGCTGGATGATTGGGTTGCACACATGACGTCGATCATGAAGACCGCACATGAGCACATAGCCGCTTCCTAGACTCGCATGGCAGCACGTGCGAACCGATCGAGGATGGACCATCCATTCAAAGTCGGTGATGATGTGCTTATCGACGCCCACCACTTACAGCTCGAAGCGGACACGCTTCGCAAGTTTTAGCGTCGCTTCTTTGGCCCATGCCGCATCCTCCAGGCTGTCGGTTCTGATACGGCATCTAGCCCGGTCAGCTTTCGTGTGAAGCTGCCCGACTACCTACGTCAGGCTCATGTGCATGATGTCTACCACGTCTCGTTACTGCGTCCTTACCGCAGACCGTCTGAGCGTTTTACTGGACGACCATACGAGCGCCCTCCACCCCTCATGGTGGACGGCCAAGAGGAGTTCCTCGTTTCAGACATCATTGGTCGTCGAGTCACCGACGACAACCCTCCCCACGTCGAGTATCTCGTTCGTTGGAAGGGTTACCCTGATGAGGAGGCTACCTGGGAGCCCCTCGAGCACTTGCAGCACGCTCGCATGTTGGTGCGTGCCTATGACCGTGCTCGTCGTGCTGGGTTCACTGCTCCTCCTCAGCCCATTGACCACCCTCCTTCTCCCCCGGCCGAGGAGACCGCTGAAGTCGAGCCTGCTCCATCTGATGCAGACCTTCAGCAGCAGCCGGATGCTTCTGAGCGTCCACAGCGCACTCGTCGTCGTCCTGCTCGATACGACGATTGACTCTGACTTACCTTCCCACGTCCTTGACTTCTCAATACTCCATCCACTCCAGTTTTGCTACTTCAGCTCGTCGACGTTACGACTCTTCCTCGACGGCATTCCAGACTTCTCATCGTGGACGTCATCGGCAGCTTCATGGACTTCATCACGATCAGCTCTGACTACTTCAGACGTCGCCACTCTCTTACCACTCTACCCTATACAGTACCCTGCTTGTGTCGCATGATGGTCTCCCTTTAGCCGGGTTCCTCTGAGTTGGGCTCTCCCTTGGTATACGCATAGGCATCGGGATGGTCTCCCTTTAGCCGGGTTCCTCTGAGTTGGGCTCTCCCTTGGTATACGCATAGGCATCGGGACCGTAGCGTTGCCCTGGCTTCCCATCTTACGGATCTAGCTCCGACTTCACCACCTTAGGAGTCATCTGCAGGATTCCCTTACCCATCACCTTCCTACCCTCACGCCCTAGTTAGGCAGCCCCGCATGCTTCATCTAGGTGCGCCCAGTATACCAGGCTCCCTTGTTCCCGTGCATGGTCGACCCTCCATAGCGGTCACCCCTTAGCCGAGCTTTACCCGCCCTGATGGTCTATCTGTTAGGGTCATTGGTTCTGTTCGCTCCCAGCTCCCTACCCTCATTGAGCCTGATGACATGTGTCTCCCTGTTATCTATGTGTGGATGCCCTTAGGAGTTTTCGACCCCTAGGCTGCATTCGCCACCCTCAGAGACCATCCCACCTTTCGGTTTGCGACACACTTCTCATGTGACATATGGTTGTCTTGCTCAGTGGTGAAACTAAACTCAGATAGGTCGCGCCACCAGCGAGGCTGTCGAGGAGTGAGCTTCAGTTTAGTCAGAAAAGCCTGGACAACAGAGTTGTCCGTGCGCACCGTGAGTGTGCCCCGTGCAAGTAGTGCCGCCAGTGCCGAGCGGCATAAACTACTGCGAGAACCTCACGTTCATCAGCAGTGTAGTTTATCTCGGCGGGCAGGAGCTGACGGGAGTAGAAGGCTATCGGACAATCACGTGAGCGAGACTCGACAGTGTCGTCCKCRGCGATGGTAGGAGAATAGTCAATAGARGGCTYRTCARTAGCTGGACGAGTAGGCGTCAGTCGGGAAGCAGTGGTAGGGGTAGGTGGTGGGACGCGAGGGATACGAGGATGAGAGGAATCAGGAGAGGAGGGGAAGACCTGAGAAAGCACTGCTCCGACAGCAAAGTCTGACGCATCGGTGGTAAGGATAAAAGGGCGATCAAAATCGGGTAGGTGAAGAACCGGTGCGCATGTCACCGCCTTCTTGAGGGCGCGGAAGGCGTCCTCGTGGAGGGGTGTCCAAGCCCAGGGTGGGTTCTTCCGGAGGAGGGTGGAGGTAAGGACGTAGGAATACCTAGCATATCCCCGGATGAAGTTACTATAGTAGCTGGTCAGGCCTAGGAAGCTGCGAAGCTGCTTGGCGAATGTGAGGGCGGGCCACTCCGCAATAGCAGTGATCTTCGCGTCGTCCAAGTGGAGACCCTGGTCAGACATGTAGTGTCCTAAGAAATCCACTTTGTGCTGGGCAAAGCGGCACTTGCTCAGCTTGGCGTAGAAGCCATGTCTGCGCAAGCGGTCAAGGACGTCGCGGAGGTGTCTGAGGTGCTCCTCAAGGGTACGACTGTAGACCAGGATATCGTCGAGGTAGACGAGAACGTACTGCTCTAGGATGTCCCTGAAGATGTCGTTCATCGCCCTCTGGAAGGTGGCGGGTGCATTGGTGAGGCCGAATGGCATCACCGTAAACTCGTAGTGGCCGAAGCACGATCGGAACGCTGTCTTTGGCTGGTCGGCTACAGCGACGCGGATCTGATGGTAACCGCTACGAAGATCAATCTTCGTAAAGAAGCAGTTGCCTGCTAGGCGGTCGAACAGCTCATCGGAACGAGGTATGGGGTAGCTGTTCTTAACCGTGTAGCAGTTGAGACCACGATAGTCGATGCAGAGACGAAGAGTTCCATCCGCTTTGCGAGCAAAGAGGACGGGTGCACCCCACGGGGAGTTGCTGGGTTTAATGAAACCCAGTCTCAGTAGCTCCTCAAGCTGACGCTTGAGTTCGGTGGCCTCGGGAATCGAGAGTCTGTAGGGTGCCTGGTGGTGAACACGATAGTCAGGCACAAGCTGAATGGAGTGCTCGACGTCACGCATCGGTGGGATGCCGGCGTACGAGAAC